GTCATTAGGAAAAAAAAAAAAAAGGAATAAAGGAAAGAGAAAGACCCTCGGAAAACAATGGGAGCCCTTCAAGGAGAGGGCCAGGTTAGTTTGTGTAGCTCCAGGCAGACAGTCCCTCTGTCGTTCCCCAATTTACATCCCTGTTCACAAACCCACTTTGAAAATCTTGGGCCCAGCTCACTGACCCAACAGGGTGTGGAATGAAAACTTTCTGGTTGTCCCAGAACTTCAGCTGGACGTCAAAGGTGAGGGCAGCAGGTAACAAAACTTCCTCTCCTGATAAGAGGTGGCCAGACTGGTCCTTGGGCTCTCTGTAACCATCAACCCCAGCCTCCATGAGATAAGGTCCTGCTTCCCACGCGCCAGGACCTTTGAACATCCTAAGAGTCCACCAGCAGAGCTGCCTTCCAGCCGGGGGGTGTCAGAAGGGGATGTGGGGTGCTTCCTGAGGAATGAATGGAGATGGACATGCAGGAGGTCATGAGTGTATGCAGCGAGTCCCCACAGGGTCCCCAGGGGTGTCAATAGTTTCTCCAGGGTGCCCCCGTGACCCCTCCGATGGATGCCTGGCAGGATCCCATGGGGATCTGACACCCTGTACTCCTCTGGTCTCAGCCAGGTGAGCTGGAGAGCAGGATGGAGAGGGCACACCCAACCTTGAATCCACTGTAGACTCCTGAGCCATGCTGGTCAGGCAGGAAGGGACTGGGAAGAGGGATGAAACTGAAGAGGAGAATGAGCCCTCCCTTCCTCCTCCCCTCCCTCTCTTTCTATCTTTCCTGGGGATTGAACCCAGGAATGCTCTGCCACGGAGCTACACCCTCAGCCTTGTTTTTTTATTTTGAAACAGGGTCTTGGTAAGTTGCCCAGGCTGGCCTTGAACTTTTTTTTTTTTTTTTTTTAAAAGAGAGAGTGAGAGAGGAGAGAGGGAGAGAGAGAGAGAGAATTTTTTTTTTTTAATATTTATTTTTTAGTTCTCGGCGGACACAACATCTTTGTTGGTATGTGGTGCTGAGGATCGAACCCGGGCCGCACGCATGCCAGGTGAGCGCGCTACCGCTTGAGCCACATCCTCAGCCTGGGCCTTGAACTTTCTGATCCTCCTGCCTCCCCCTCCTGACAGCTGGTATTACAGGGGTAGCTGACCAGACTGCCCCACAGGAATGAAATTTGGATTGTACCATAACTGAGGTCCAATACCTGAGAAGGAGACTGTTCTAAACAGTTTCAAGTGGCCCCAAAACTCTAAGATCTTTGGAGATGTGGCCCAGGGGGCAGAGGAAGGAGCGTGGACGGTAGATCTGAGTCTGGACAAGCCCTGGGAGACGAAAAATGAAGCGTACTTGACTTCCCCCTTGGTGCGGCCCCTCCTGCCAAGTTCAGCTCATCCAGTAGCCCAGGCACCATCGTTATCAATGACAATATCTCACTATTGATCGACCCCCGGGGCCTGTTATTCAGAGGCAGGATGCAGTTTCTGCAATGAAATACAACAAAGTCCCCTCCGGGGCCTCCATGGTGAGATCCTCATCAGTTTGAGGTACCAAGCACTCTGCCACGGGCCAGGAGGGACTGCAGGCTCTGGAGAGCCCATTCCCTGGCCGCAAGGGACAGCTCTGTTGCCCGAGCTGGTCAGATCTTCCCAACCTTTTTTTTTTTTTTTTTCCTCAGAAAGGCCATTTTCTATGTTTTTTTGGTAGTGCTTACTGGCGTGGGGATTATTAGAAAGAGTCTCAGGTCTTTCTTGCAATGGACACAATCTGTTCTGCTAGTTTTCAGCAGTTTTAACAGGGTGGCAAATTGTGTGGTCCACCCCACCCCCCGATTCATAGGTTGAAGCCCTAACCCTCAATGGGACTGTATCTAGAGAAAGGGTATTTGAGGGTTGTTAGGGTTAGATGCAGTCATCAGGGTGGGGCCCTAAACCAGCAGGACTTAGATGATGTGGTGCAGGAGCTGATATGTGAGGACCTAGTGAGAAGGTGGCCCTCACCACTGGGCCCCCTGACCTTGAACTTCCAACTTCTAGAACTGTAAGAAAATAAATTTTTGTCATTGAGGCCACCCAGTGTTTCCTCTTGATGGGCAGAACCGACTGACACAGGTTGGTGAGTAGCCTACAGAATCTCCAGGGGGACCAGGGAGCAATTTGGGGTCTGTGTGACTATGAATGGTGTCCACACCCAATGAGCACCATGCCATAGCTTTCAGTGTGGACCCTGGGGTTTCCACAGGCCCGGGGCACCTGGCTGCAGGTAGCCATCTGGGAGGATTCATTGGCTGCCATGCTCACCATCAGATAGATCCCTCCCCTTCCATTCAAATCTGGGCCACAGGGAAGGAGACTGAGGACCTAAACTTTTCCCAAGAAAAGGGGCTGCTGCTGGGGGCCAGAGAAGCCGATAAAACGTTTTATCCATCTCACAGGGTTGGAGAGATGAAACTGGGGATTTGGGAGGCGAATCTCCCAGGGAGAAGGGAGGGACAGATAGTGGGCCTGAGAGACGGCAGTTTTGCCCTCAAGATACTGGACAAATTCTGAGACAGTGCAGGGTAAGGGGCTCCGAAGCCAAGCAGAAAGACCCTGAAAAACAGAAGAGTTTCCCAAAGTCTGGAGGATAGTGATTAGGACAGTAGAGAGGGGCCCTGGGGACACCAAGGGCAAAGACAGACGTAGGGGTCAGAGTTCACCCAGTAAGCTTCACCCAGCTCACCCAGCTCCACCCAGCTGAGTTAGGTTGAGCAGTCCCCAGGCCACCTGTCTTGCTGAGAAAGGGTGAACCCTCTGTGGAGCTAGGTAGCATCATTTAGAGACTGCGTTTTTTTTTTCTTTTCTTTTTTTTTTTTCATACACACTATCTGGCATTCAATAAAAGTTACAGGACCTGCCAAGAGACAGGACCAAATCACTGAGAACAAAGAGGAAAAATAATCAATACAAAGAGGTGAACAAGGTATTGTATGGGAGTTAGACAAAGGTTTTAAATAACAATGTCTAAGAAAAACAAAGAAAAAGATGAAGAAAATAGATGAAAAGAGAGATGATTTCACCAGAAGAGTGGAATCCATAAACCTCATGGTCCTAAAGATTGGGAGTCTAGAGAACACACTTGACCTCCTGTTGACATTTTTTTTTTTTTTTTTAAGATGTTGGAGATGGAACTCAGGGCTTTCTGCTGTTTGAAAAACACTCTCCCACTGAGCCACATCACCAGTGCAACAGAGAGATTTTGAAAATGTTAACTTAGCTCTGTATGAACTATAAAATCCTATGGCTTACAATTTTAAATAAGTAAATTTGCCACCCAACTTGGCCATCACTGTTGGGCTGTTCTTCTCAAGTGGCTTTCTGTAAACTATTCAGATTATTTATTCTGAGCCTCACACCGCCCTATAACTCTAGTTTCTTAACATGGGGCTCTGTTCACAAGATGCCTTTTAAAACTGAGCTCCCCCCCACCCCCCTGCGCCTTTTTAAAAGAGACAGGGTATTGCCATCTTGCCCAGGCTGACCTTGAACTTTCTGGTTCAAGTAATCCTCCTGCCTCAGCCTCCCAAGTAGCTGGGACAATTGGCGCACACTACAACACCGGCTGCTAATTATTGCAAATGCATTTTGCGGGGTGGAGGTGGGGGAATGAGTGTTGGCAATACTATCAGATAAGGTGGTCAGAGAGGTGAGGCCCCTCTGAGATGATATCTGATTTGACCATGAGTGACAAGCAGCCAGCCTTGGGGAGGATTAGGTTGAAGTGTGGTCTGGACAGAGGTGACATGTAACATAGATTTAATCAGGGGCTGGCAACCTTTTCTGTAACCAGACAGGAAGTATTTCAGATGTCGTGAGCCACACACTTGGTGGCAACCACTCAACTCTACAGTTACAGGGCAAAAGTAACCAGAGACGATAAGCACGGGTGGTGGTATTCCAGTTACACTTTGTGCACGATGAAAAAGGAATTTCATGTAACTTTCTCACGTCACAAAATGTTCTTGTCTTCTTCCCAACCATCCAATAACCAGTGTTAATTCTGGTACCACGGGTTGCTGATATAAGGTTGGGGTCAGACCCAGAGGCCCTCAAAGGACAGAGTCATAATCAGAAATGAGGCAAAGTCCTTTTCCCCCTCGGCAAATGTGCATCCAGCAGGGAAGGCTAGGGGACCGTCAGGGACGCGGCTTCCTAAGGCACCGGGAAGATCAGCAGGTTTGTTTTATTCTTTCCCTCACTAACGAGAAACAACAAAAAGGCACACACAGACACCAAGCCAGCAGGGCAGAGAGGACGTGCCCGGGTTCACGCTGACGTCTCTCCCACACGCACCCAGGGTTTTAAACTTGGGCGCACACCTGCTCCCAGCCGGAGCGCACCTGCTGAGCAGTACTCCGGCCTCGTCTC